CTGAAACACCTATAAAACAAGCCCTGATGAAATACAGACAGTCTTCCATCTACCTCCTCCATATGGCTCAGGCAAAGTCAACTTTTAATTTCATAATACAAAAATATTTAATTTATGCTTTTCTTCATATGTCAATTTAACCTCTGGCACATAGCTTTGAAACCATATAAGGATGCCTAACACTTTCCATATGGCAACTGAATTGTGGCTTTTAATTGCACCAACTGGTATCATTCAAGGATAATTCCCTTGGAATCCAGCTTTCTGCTACAGTATTGGCCAATTCACTAATCTCATCACCATGGCACTAATACTTTCAGAGACTCTTTGATTGTTAATATTCATATTATAATTTTCCCAAACCAGAGCTGTCAAGATATACTATGTACACCACTAATTAAATTATCTTGGTTTGTTGGCACCAAATTTCAACACTAAATAAGATTCTGCTTTTCTCTCCCTCAATACAAAGTTTGGTAATTTTATTTTAAATGCCATAAACAATATTTTTGTGTACTAAAATACTTTGTAGTCATACCAATATTGAGAACTGCTGGGTCTGTTGTTTATTTTAATCTTCAGAGTCAATAAAAATAATTATTTATATAGTACTGAGATTAATGGACTTGAAAATATTTCAGTTAAAAAGATCACTTCAAGCAAGAACAAGATAACATCCAAGGAAACTTTCATTGCTCTTGTCACCATACCAGTAAGAAGGCAGTGTTTCAAATGTCACTTTACCCATGAAATGACCCCAAAGTAGTGCTGCAATTAAATCTTGCATTGCAACAGCCTTTAAGCCATACTATATACATAGCACTAAAAAGTCTCATTTCTGTTTAGTATTTTCATTTTGGATGAATGACCTACAGCTGTGTCATCTGTAAGGTGATGTATTTTTAATATGCACACACACACTATTAACAGTGGGGGACTGGGAAGGGCTTCTTTTTTAATTTAAGATTGATCATACTAGAGGAGCAGTGAAGTTGACACTGGTGTTGTCTCCTCTCAGCCATGCAAGGAATGCCCATTAATGTCACTGGCAGTTACAGGCACAGAACAAATGGAGAACAAGCCCCACCTCTGAAGGACTGATGCGCCTCAGAATTTCATACTGTGTCAGTCCCAAACCAGATACTCAACTCTAATTAATATCAATTAGGGTTGAACATGGGGATCACTAGTACCAACAAGCCCAGTGGAAGTGGTAAGCTAAATTCATTTCTATTTTACCTAAAATGATTACCTACAATGTGGCTCACTGAGAGTTGGTTTGAAATCTAATTAAAAATAGGATATTTTTTCCATTCCCAAGCACAGATGTCAATGAGACGCACAAGACCCTAGTAAAATTTCTTATGGCTTTGAAGATAAAAGTAAATGGAACTAAGCAAATGTCATATTTAATATTCCCCCCTCTAGCACAGAGCCGTTTCTCAGTTAAATAAATAAATACATGAATATTTGCAAACAATGTTGATTTCCAAAAATAGTTTGTAAAAGTAAACACACTGAATAAATTTAAGCTTAAGAATTATACAGGATAATCCACAGTATCAGAAAAACCTTTCTGGATACAAGTTAACTCATTCATAATGCAGCAAAAGAAGTGTATTCAGTTGCTAGCAGATTTACAGCCTCAGTGGTTTCAATTAGCTTTGAAACCAGAAGATGACTCTGGACCTCATACTTTTCTCATGGATGCAACAGAATTCCTTTTCCCTTTAATCCCCCACAGTGTGGAAGCTGCAGGCCAGCCCCGGCCCTTGGAGTCATTAAAACCCTTGGAGCAGAGCAGCCCCTGCCGGGCGGGTGGCAATGGTTTAATGAGCTCGGAGCCCCCACCCCGTACAGCGCTCGCCCTGCCAGGCTCCCTCCCTGGCCCACACCTTCACCCAACCATCCACCAGCAGAGCCTTCCCAGAGCACAGAACGCTAATTACTGTTCTTCCAGTGAATTGGAGGGGAGAGACAGATGGACAGGACACGACAGGGACAACACATCAGCTGAGGGAAGTCTTCTCCAACTGAGAAACTCTCAGAACTTCTGCTCAGAAGGAAAGGTGTCGTATAATGGAACTATCCTTGAGTGATGTAAAGACCTCCCCTCCACGACAATTGTAAATTCAATCATTCTAGAGAGGACTACAAATGAAACTTTACTGCTTTCCTGTATTAGTCACTCATTCCTCTTGTAAAATACTGCATGAATTGCCTGAACTTCAGTGTCATCTCCCCTGGATGACTAACTTTAGCAGAACAATTCATTGCCTGTTCTTGAGAGAAACAGCCTTCCAACTACAACTAAGATAGGATTTTTGGCCTGTAGACAGTAAAATAAATCAAATTGTACTATCACATCCAAGTTTTGATTAAAATTATTCAAATTTTGCATTATCAGTCTTGGGAGTTCTTGAGGCTAGGTGCTCTTCTCTCCCATCAACAGGTCTTTGGAAGTAAACTGAATCTCACCAAATAGGCCCTACATACTAACAAAACCATCATCAACAAAGATCTGGTTAAGGATTCCTACTAGGAAAATTATTTCTAGGACCTAATTATTTTTTTAACACAGCTGTATGTTTCTGTGAATGCAGATATTTTCATCAATGTCTGATCTAGCTCTTTCTGCCATAAGTCACAAACACAGTAACTTGGGATCTATTTTGGAGGAAAAAAATCTATGTTTTACTGAGAAGTCACAGTTTCAGCTGTGACACAATAAAACTGCAACATTCCACAGAGCCTTGTAAGCTTATTGAACATTTTAGTATGAATTTTGAAGCAGTAAGGAGAAGATTCAAGTGCAGTAAGGTAAATTCAAGTGCAACACTAGTACACTATTGGGGTCTACACCACTGTCCCACACAACCCCGTGACTAACCATTAGCAGAAAAAACTAGTATTTCTACATCTTGAGGAGACCAAAGAACCAAGAGGTTAGGCTACAATTCCCTTTGTATCTTGGTATAATTATACAAGAGATCAAAGAGATCTCAGAAGAGAAGCAGCCATGCAGCCTCAGTTATGGAGTCAATAGCTGTGACTCCATAATCCTTGTCAAAATGACTGTACATATGGCACATCTGGTTCCAATGTAGGATTAGAAATGCATCCTTCCATATTCCAAAAGTTTGTATTTTAAAAGAACTTTAATGTAGCTGTCACAGTGTGCCTGTGACAGGATGACAATTAAACTAAATCAACAAGCAGGCTATACATGCACACAGATACTACCAAATACATTAGGCAATAAATGGCAAATATTTTTGAACATTCAGAAACATTTCAATAAGGATGACAGTAAAAGGCCTCATGGGAACAGTGCTTTTAAACACACTTAAACCTATTTACAGTTTTATAATGTACTAAAACTGTAGAATAATATTTAGTTAATGGCTTGTTAATTGCTGATTCATCAAGAGGAGGACTTCCTCTTGAGTAAGAGGGGAAATACTGTTCTACTGTCATTCCAGCTGAGTAGACCTCACCAAACTGCCAACTGAAGAGGGTTGTGAATAGAAAGGACCTTTGACAAAAGATGCTGTCTTCTTTTCAGAAAGCAAATCATCTTTATGGAAGAAAATACATTTCACAAACTAAAGGCAGAGTTTTCACCTTTAACTCTTATATTAAATCTATGTTTAGTCTGGTGAGTTGAGCTTCTTTTCTAAAAAACATACATGTGAAAGGTATGAACATATGTAGAAAAACACGACTTAGAAAAACTGGGATAATTAGAAAATAATTAAAAACAGGTGTTCTTACTCTTTGCATCTGTATCATAGTACGTACTATTGTTAATGAGAACTTCTTCCTTTGAACATATTGTTTCCTAGTAAAGCACAATAAATATCACTTCAACCAGTCATACCTGCAAGTTGAAGGTGATTATATTCATCAGTTACAACAAAGCAATATCTTACCCCCTTTGTCTTTACTTCTAGTGACTCTCACACAATTTATGCTCCTCAAAATACAATACTGGTGGAATATGAAATGTCCTCATTAGCTTTTCCCATACTACACATCTTCTCCTCACTTACACATCCCACCTAAAATGAAGCATTCTTGACTTGCAAGTGAATTTTCCTGAGGCACAAGAAGTCCAGGCTTCTGACAATACAACTGGTAGCTGACAAAGCAAAGAGCCTGCAGGAGGTTTGGTGGCCCTGGCTCTGCTTGTGCTTTCAAAGCCACACTGCTTGCTGGGAAGCACAGATTCCAATCTCCCCATCTCTCAGGTTACCTTTCCAGTGATGAAACTTTCAGGGCTTGATCCAAAGTCAATGGGAGTCTTTCAGTAAACATCAATAAGCTCTGGATCACACCCTGAAACACTATGAGGACCATATCTAAGTAATGTTAAGTCTGTTTACCTCCCATCATGCCTCTTTGTTTAAAGAGACAACATTAAAAATAAATAAAAGAAAACGGCAACTGAAACGTTTCCTCCAGCCCAGCTTTACATGGAGGATTAAAGGGGTTGAAAGTGACCAGTGAAACAGCCAGGACAAGCAACTGGCACAGTAACTCTGGTGGACAAAGTCAGCCTCACGTTATTAGCAAAGAGCAAATAAATAACAGTAACTCTTCGGGGACTTCTCCTTGACTGCCAAAATGTCACAGGCAAACTTGTGCACTAATCAGGGCTCACAAGCTATCGCACTGGCTGGGTGCTGGGCTTTCCCCAGAGATTGTTTGTTCCTGTTTGTGAAAGGTTTTGGTCTAATCGTACTGCCCAGACACCAGCAGTCAGGTTCCCTTACTCCTCTGGCTTTTGTACCCTCACCAAGTTTGCTCTGCAGCTTCTAACTTCATCAAAGGACTGAAGGAAACCACCCACGGGGCAGCGCCTCGGAGCAACATTAGGGCAAAGAAAACCTTCCTTTGCACAACCGCCCCTTGGGAGGGAAAGAGGGATGTAGAAAGAGCTTTTGCCTTTCAGTATTTCAAAGGGAAGGGGCGGGGGGGCAGCGAGGAAGCTGACATACCCTGGCGCTGGAGAGCCTGCACACGGCGCGGTGCTGGCAGCCGTGCTGGAGTCCCGAGCTGCTGCCGCCGCTGCTGCTGCCCCCGGAGTATTTCTGCTTCACCATCCAGTCCTCCAGCCCTCTGCGAGCCAGAGAGGCGTTCACCGCAAAACTATCACCTAGAAAAGAGGAGACAATGCCGCCGCTGAGCCGCCCGCAGAGCCCGCCCGACCCCCGCGGCCATCCCCGCGCCGGGGCTGGGGCTGGAGCCGGGGCTGGCACCGGGGCTGGAGCCGGGACCGGGGCTGGAGCCGGGACTGACACCGGGGCTGGGAGCGGGGCGGCCGCGCAGAGAGCAAAGCGCGGCGGAAAGTTGAGGGGAGAGGGCAGGGGGCCGGGGGCAGCGGCCGGACCGGGGGAAGGCGTTCAAAGTTACTAACAGCGAGGAGCCATCCCTACCTTCTGGACTTTCTCTGGGTTTACAAACGGCAGCTAGGCAGATCCGGAGGAAAGTGTGTGAGGGAAATAATAAAGGAAGATCATTAGACACCAGAATAAAATCACAGCAACAAACCGAGTAAAATCCGAATAAAGGGAAGGGGCTAAGGAAGTAGCAAGTGAAAGGAACTAACCATGTTTCGAATGAAGTTTCCCCATCTCTCTGCATTGATCTGCAATTACGATTCATTTGACTGTTTTCAGTAGGGTCAGGTTCGCTTGTTGTTATTTTTTGTAGATATATAAAATCCCAGCGTGTTTAGAAATCCATGTGCTCCGCTTCTCCCTGCTAACACACAAGCGAGCTCAAATCTCAGCTCCTCTCCTGCAGCACGGTCCGGCGTCCCCCTCTCCGCTCCAGCCTTCCTCCTCTCTCCTCTCTTTCCCAAAGACAGAGGCGGTTACAAAAGACCTTACTTCACCCACCGGGGAACATGATTGACACCTCATTGAGATTAGACCACTTGCAGGCAGCCTCCGCCTTCCCATTGGGCCGCGGCGGCAGATGAAAGGGGCGAGTGAGCCTTTTGGAGGCTCAAAAAGGAAAAAGGGAAAAAAAAAAAAAAGAAGAAGAAGAAAAAAGAAAAAGGAGCAGCCGGGGCGCGTTTCACTTCCAGCCAGGCACGGGCGGCGGGGCCGGCCCCGCTCCGCGCAGCCCCGGGGGCGCCGGGCGGACAAGGCGCCCGCTGCCCCCCGGCCCGGCCCGGCTCGGCCCGGCCCGGCCCCGCCGCCGCCAGCGCCGCCCTCCGCAGCCGCCGGAGCCCCGCGGGCCGCGCCCCCGAGCAGCAGCCGCGGCCCCGCACGGGCCGGCCCCGGGCTCCGCCGCGGGCCGCGCCGCCGCCCTCGGGGCTGCCGCCGCTCCGGGCACCCCGCACGCCGCCTCCGGCAGCCCTGTCTGCACCCGGGCGCGCTGCTGAGCCCCTCCGGTCCCCGCTGCGCGGGATCTGGATCGCGGAGGAAGCCAGCGCGTCTGGAAAAGCAGTTGTTCTGCTGACTTAGTCGTGCAAATTGTTTTTCACGGGCATCCCTTCGCACACAAGTGGTCCTAATGAAGTCACTGTTAATGCCAAAATGCAGTTCTCAGGGTCAGGTCCGGAACCCTTTCTCAGTGATTCAAAATGTTGGCAGCAGGAGGACAAAGTCTCTCTCAGCTTTTTTTCATTATTAGTTAAGTAGATGAGATTTACAAAGAATCTCCCCTACTTCTACAAATTATGAATGGTGTATTTTTTACATAGAACATAAACTAAAAGGAAACTTGCTGTTTCATAAAGATAGTTCTCACAGTCATTAAAAATTTGCTTTCTTCTTTTGGCCGGTCATTATATTTCTGTTTATGAAAATCACATCTCCCTGGAGATCCTTGTAGTTCAACTAGGAGAGATAAAAGGGAGTACGTAGTAGATTCAGAACAAGAAAAAATGAAGACTTCTGAGAATTTCACTCAAGAAACTACTAGTCAAACTATGTAGGGTTTGACCCAGATGGGCCTGGTCCAAAAAACTTCAAGGCCACATCTGTGCTTTCAAATCCATATGTTTCAAGCACAGGGAGGAAGGAGTTAGACTTGGGAGCTCATCTGAAAAAAAGATTCAAAGCATATGTAGTAACACTTCTGCAGGGAATTGGGACCGGGAGAAGAGGGTCAGGCTTGGAGCTCATTTTTAGAAGGAATTCCAAAGCACATGGATGTGGTGAAGGTCTGGTATGAAACAACTGCACAGCACAGCCAATGCAATGCCATTAAATGAACCGTTTCAACCCAAATTGTTCTTTGGATGATTGCAAAGTCATTTCTCACATTATTCCAACTATTTATCTGTCTAGCAAAGAAAGCCCTTGCATTGTGAAATGCAGCCGTTGCAACAGCATCAATTGCTTGTCAAATAGCTAATAACATGCATCTTTTGTGAATTTCTTTTTTATGTATTTTAATAATTTCTTTGGACCATTTTTTATATTGCGTATTTAGGTGACATATTTGTTCCTTTGAAGATTGTCTCTTGTTTTGGGGAGGTCAAAGAGGGGAAGAAAATTATTTAGATAAGGCCGGTTCATTGGGGCATGAGCTTCACTTCGACTGGGAAAACTTGTAAAAATTTTCTGATCCAGATGAAGAAATTCTAAATCCTAATACCTCAGGTTGGCATAAACACAAGTACCCTTTAAAACTTCATCAGCAAATATTTTATTTGGAATATCACTTATCTTCACTGTTCATGAGAAATAGAGAACAGCTTAGTATAAGTGACCCCAAATGGGATCGGCCTATCCATTCATTTTGTGAGATGGTGCTCACATTCAGCTCTTGGGAATAAAACAAGGCCTTAGAAATGTCTCAAGTTCAGCAGGTCTGCTGAAGTGGGCAGGGGAAGAAGCCCTGGCTTTCTTTCACAGCAGATTACAGAGATCCACTTGTGTCAAGGAACTTGCGTTCAGAACACAGCCGCTCTTGTGCACAACTGCCTTCACATACGCAACGTTTGTTAGAGTTCAGAGCAAGCCCTTTCTCATTACAGTCGATGACATACCCTGCAGAACCAACACAGGAGAGCAAATCTGACAAAAGAATCACAAATGTCAGTAAATGACTCCACGTACAATGGATTCATGACTTGCTTGGGCACAGGAGTAACACAATAACAAGCTGGTGACATTACTCTGGGTATGAATCACAACTGCAACTAATTCTTCCTCCACCTGGGAGAAAGTTTTAGCTACTCTCAAAGTGACAAATCTTGTGATTCTTAGCATGGTTTTGCTCAGACATCAAATTCTGGTTGATTTCAGGAGAATTTATCATGGTATAACAACTAAACAGGAACCTCAAGATTTGACTCAGTATATAATGATCCTCAAACTACAGGGACCTCAAGGCATACAAAGATTTTTGGTTTTGCTTCCATGGGGCCAGAAGTGTGTTGAGTAGTGACGTCTAGTAAAATATGAGAGTCAAGTACACCATTCACAGAACAGTACTAATGATTAAAGGATCTCCAACCCAGTGACCTCAGTGGAATTCTTAAAGTTTGGAAGCTATGAGATAGAGTATTATTCATTGCCCTTTCATTAGGGCTGACTACACTCCACTTCTCCAGAAGATGGAAAACCCTTTTGAACCTTGCTGTACTATAAAGCAGTTGATGATATGAAATGCTTCTTAGCTAAGGAACAAGTGAATAAGACCATTCTAGGAATTCATTCTCAATATTCAATAGCATAGCAAAATTAATGACAATAGTTGCAATAGCAAGAGTTAGCTGATAGATGAAAGCACCACACTGATTTTCCTGTCTGGGTAGTGGTAAGATACTGCTTTCCAGTTCTTCTGCTTTATCTCCTTCCTTTTCTTGCGCTCTCCTGTTCCCTCCAGCTGGAGATGAAAGAAGGCTGGTATTGGCCTCCCACAGTCTCAGGTGGGTGCTGTTCTCTTCCACCTGAAGTGGCATGCTGGTCATGCTACACTACCCTCAGAATAAGTGAGGGTTGATATGTGTTTTTTAAAGTTGAAAAGCCCCATGTAATTCTTAAAAAAAAAACCCAAAACCAAAGGCACACAGAAGCAGTAAAGTGCAAACTGTGTGGTTCCTCCTCTACATTAAACAATATAAATCCATATTGAACAGAAGTGTTTTAAGAAAATGTTGCTCAGTTGTGAAGGAAAAACATATATGTGCTCTCAGCAGTATTGACAGGGACAATGGATCATAGGTAAGCTCCTAATATTTCCAGGATCCAGCTGATACAGAATTTTTAACCTCATCACTCTCAGAATCACAGATGGTCACAAACCACACTCAGCCCCCATTTCACCCACATTCCAACCAAACCCCTTTTACTCCATCAACAAAGAATTGCCCACAGCAATGATACCTCTCCAACAGTTGCCTCAATCACTACCCTGCTGATGCATTTAGGGCCACAAACCGTTTTATGAACATTTAAATTTTGGTTTGGTGACCACGTGAGTGCTTTGACTGCTCATTCCCAACACATAAATGAGATGCCTGTCACAAGACACTGTTTTAGCTTTTGGGCCTTTGTCCTTGTACCTCTGGTCTTGGCAGTTTTTTCATTACTTTTGCCTTAGGCATTTTTGCAATCAGGCATGTTAGCACCTCCTGGCTTTAGCAACTTTGCAGCCTTAGCTTATTGCCTCAAAGCTTTGGCATGAGTCTGCACTGTGGCATCCTTTCAACTCCAAACATACTTGCTTCACAGGTTTTCCTCGGGTTTTTCTTGGATGTCAGCAACTGCCCTGACCCTAGAGGGGGAAGAAAGACTGATCAGCAAGTTCAAACAGTGTCTGTGCAGCAGAAAGATGTCTATCACAAATGAGCACATTCACTACATCACCTGCCAAATATTGCACATGCTCAGGTACCATGAGAAATTTTTCCAGGCCTTCTTCAAGATTACTCCTATAAATCTTCTGAGAGCTTGTGAAGATTGGAGGAAACCCTGGCAAACTTTGTAGTCCCAGACTGTAAGACCACTGTGTCTCCATACTCCAGTGGATATACTTTCCATGATCAAAGTAATTTTTCTTTCACTTCTCTTCAGAGCCAAGAAAACCCATCAGATAGAGATGGATATTGAGTTTAAGGGCTGGTAGTTCAGGGTGACAAGTGCTGATTTGGTAGATGAGCTGTTTTCCACAACCACCAGTAGACCCAGTTGTCCTTTGTACTGCCTCCACTAAAATACTCCTTTTCAGGTGGTATCACCTCTTCTTTCCATTGTATTCAGGAAAATGAGTCTTAGAAGTCCTAAAACAGAAGAATCCATGCCAGGTTAATCTTTGTTTGCTCCATCTATTACTCTGAAAGTCCTCATCAGCAACTGCCTTCAGTGAAGGCCTGAGTTTAGAAATGCTTTGATTTGTGAATTCCTAATTGTCACCTGTTATGTCCTGCAAGTTCTCTCTCAAAGACTTTTGCATAGCTAACTCGGTAATCCAGATTTCAGCTCACCAGAAAAGTGGAAGGGTGAAAAAGTCAGTTGATGCTGCCTAAAACTAGTGAGACTCCTTCTACCGTGTATCTCTCTATAGCTGAGGAAGCTGGGCCAGGGCTTTCCCAGCAATTTAGAAGCAATTAGCTTTTTCAGTATATTTTAGCGGATGTTGGACCTAGAATCTGTTTTCTTGGAATCTGATTGCAGATTCTCCAGAAGAAATTCAAAGATCATACAAAATTAGCACAAATTTTTCTGTCATTGATTTCCCAAGGAAAACGCTGTTCCTATCCAAATAAAATGAACTTGCAGTTTAT